TGGCTAAATCCCTTCCCAAAAGGCCCCATCTCTTAATATCACCACCTTGGGGTTTAAGTTCCAACATACGAACTTTGGAGGAATATCTTCATTCAAAAAGCATAGCACCAAGGAAGGCTGAAAGCCTTTTTCAACTGGCATGGAGTGGCAGCTGAGGTTAGGGTCAGGGGCCCTTGAACAAAAGCCTTAAGTTTAGGAAACAATACACAGACTAGTTGCTTACTATAGAGCAGTTTAATACCCTAAGCATTCTTTTAGGAGTGAGCTGGAGGCAATTATCTTAGCAAAGAAGCTGTAGGGAGGGTGAGGGGCAGGTCTACCCAGCTCAAAGGATATCCACTGCAAAATTTTCCCTCTCAGAAAAGGAAGGCTGCAGGACCCCTCTAGATCAAAATGTTCCTTTTCAAATTGAGTACATATATTGCCAGGACTCAACAAGAATATAATCTCCTTCAAGACAGGAATGGGACAATGCCTTCAATCAGCAACATTCTGCTTTTACAGTCTATTTCCCTCTTATTCTCTGAATCTGTCTCTTGCCCAGTTTTTGATGGTGTTTGAAAAGCTGGCTGCCATAGCTTGATAAGGCATATATCTAACCAGGATATTTTACTGCCTTTTCCATTTCTGCTTATCAAACGTGTTAACATATAGTGGACACTATCTGGATCTTTTTTTTTTTTACTAACCATTCATACTTCGTGGCATTTTGGCCATCATAGGTATCTCTGGCTACTTGGTCAATTGTTCTTGGTCTAGGTGTAATACTATTACACCTTAATTCTGATTGATTGTTCATCGACTGATTCTTCTCCCCACCCCAAGTTAAGATTTGCTCATTGTTTTTGAATATATCTTGCTGGATTATATTGTTTATATGAATATATTATGCTAGGTTTTGTTAAATGCTCTATTTCTTAACTGTTACTCTGAAATCTTACTTTTTCAAGGTGCTTCATAATAACTTATTTTTTTAGAACTCCCAAACATGGATCAAGAGTACAAGTAAAGCTCTTCACTGTCCTCTATATAAACCATACAATTCTCACATCTGTACCCTTGCTCTTCTCTGTTTGATATGCCTTTTATTGCTCTCCTCCTCTCCAAATTTTATCCGTTCATCAAGGTTCAGCTTAAATCCCTCCATAAAGCCAACCTAACTACCCTCAGTCCCACTACTTTATCTAAATGTAGGTAGCACTGTATTTCCTCTCAACACTTAGAACTAAATTATATAGATCTTCACATATTTCTATAAATTATATCCTGTAGGATCCCTGAATTAGGAGTCATTATTTATATAGCTTTTGCCTTACGTAGTCCTAGGCACTCAGTGGGATACAGATGAATGAGCGTCAAGAGATTAAGGTTTTTGTCTTTATTTGGCACTCAGGAGTCTGTAACAGGCTATTGGGGAAGACAAGCTCTCTGATATCCCTCTTACTTTTCTCATGGTGTAAACAGTAACTATGTAAATGGGAGGCTATCAAAACATCTTGGAGACCACTACCTTATAATTCACAGATAGGAGATGGTCTTGCCAGTAAGGTAAAAAGGTGCACCTCAGTGCTTCAGACTGCCCATTACAGTAAGTTTTCACTTTTATAAACCTTAGGTCAGTACCTAAGCTATATATAGCTTATATATAAGCAATATAAACCTTATGCTACACAAATAAATATTAACAGCAACTTTTTTATTTTTATTTTTTTTGAGATGGAGTCTCGCTCTGTCGCGCAGGCTGGAGTACAGTGGCGTGATCTCAGCTCACTGCAAGCTCTGCCTCCCGGGTTCACGCCATTCTCCTGCCTCAGCCTCCTGAGTAGCTGGGACTACTGGCGCCCGCCACCACACCTAGCTAATTTTTTGTATTTTTAGTAGAGATGGGGGTTCACCATGTTAGCCAGGATAGTCTTGATCTCCTGACCTCGTGATCCGCCCGCCTCGGCCTCCCAAAGTGCTGAGATTACAGGCATGAGCCACCGCACCCGGCCTAATGGCAACTCTTGATAAAGAAATTGTGACTGGCTACAGCACGCTGATCACTGAAAAGAGATACTAGAGGGCAGTAATAAAATGTAAGTAAAGAAATTAATTTATCACACTGCTACTTCATTGGTAATTCAAGGCAACCACAATTAAGGGGGTAAATACAGACCACAGATACTAAAGCAATGCCTGAAAGTAACAGATGCCAAATAAAATCAAACAAATGTTTAACATTTTATCAGATCTAAAATAAGTACATCTTCTCTCAGTGAATTTTCATAACTTGATGCACCATAAAATGCCAACAAAACTTCTGACGTACAGGTTAAATTATATAAAATACAATAGGAACACTTTTAATTCTAATTATTTAAATATTAGCATCAGCAGACATTACTAATACTATTCTGAACCTGGATCTGCATGAATCTGAACGTTAGCCGTTAGCTGATAGGCTAAGTATGATAGAACAAAAAAAAAAATCAAAGCCAGTGGTGGTGATGAGCATCTGTAGTCCCAGCTACTCCGCAGGCTGAGGCATAAGGATCCCTTGAGCCCAGGAGTCCAAGGATGCAGTGAGCTATGATTGTGCCATTGTACTCCAGTTTGGGCCACCCCATCTCAAAAAAAAATTTTTTGGTATGAAAAAGAAGTACTTTCTTTTTTTTTTTTTTTTTTGAGACGGAGTCTGGCTCTGTCACCCAGGCTGGAGTGCAGTTGCCGGATCTCAGCTCACTGCAAGCTCCGCCTCCCGGGTTTACGCCATTCTCCTGCCTCAGCCTCCCGAGTAGCTGGGACTACAGGCGCCACCACCACGCCCGGCTAGTTTTTTTTTTTTTTTTTTATTTTGGTATTTTTTAGTAGAGACTGGGTTTCACCGTGTTAGCCAGGATGGTCTCGATCTCCTGACCTCGTGATCCGCCCGTCTCGGCCTCCCAAAGTGCTGGGATTACAGGCTTGAGCCACCGCGCCCGGCCAAAAGAAGTACTTTCTAGGTGAAAACTTAAAAAAAAAAAAAAAAAAAAAAAAACAACCCAAATTGGTGAAAAAAGCCCGACTATATCAGCACTGTATTTAGAAAAATAGGGAGGTATCGGAAAAAGGTTAAGCAAGCCCCAATGTCCAAAACAATAATCCCAGAAACTGAAAGCATCTTGAAAACCACTTAGCAATACAGAACTTTACATTTAAAAAAAGCAGGGATAATTTTGATTCACAAATGTCCTTAGTTGTGAATGTACCTAAAAACTTGTTTATAAAGCTGCATATATATAGTGGAACAATCTTTTACAAGATCTCAGGAAAATAATCACCAAATAACATGGTGCACTTAAATCACAGTGATCACCACAGTATGATTCACAGGTAACAGCGTACAACTACAAAGATATAACACATTGCTACACATACTTTATTTGCAATTCAGTACCATGAAAACATTTCTCTAAGAGGTCAATGTAATAATCTTTTATTGATATAGGAACTCTGGCACTGAAAGCTTGAATAACCCAAGGTAATGATGTCGTCACCAAGGGACAACGAGAATAGAACCCAAATCCCTTGACTCCCAAGCTTGTGTTTTCCCTTAATTGTGTTCCTTTCTATTCATCCAAGAGCATCAAGTGTAAAACGTGGGAGAAAAGAGTGGACACAAATGAGCCAAGTCCACGAGGTGGAGACTGCACTGAAGGTCCTAGGAATCGCCCCTTGGCACTTTCCTTTTGTTTTGGCTGAGGAAGATGAAAGCAGCAGCAATCACGAACTCCTGGGACCAAGAACTGGAACTAGGTACTGCCTGTTGCGGTAACTCTCTTCCTCATTTTAGGCCTTTCCTTTTTAACCTCTCCTTCCGGCCAAGCCTTCGCGCGCTCTTCCCCTCTCTGTTTCTATCTGCTCCCTTTAGCTCCACTCTGCATATTCCTGCTAGGTGTCCCCGTGAGAGGAGGCAGCTGCGCCGCACTGGCTCTCCACCCTCCATCAGGCCCTGGCGCCCAGTCCTCAGGTGTTCAAGAGGTTCGTAGCGTCACAAGCGCTCTCCCTAGAAAGTGAGTGGCAGTCAAGCATTATAAATGTGTTTCAACTGTTAAGAGACTTAGGAGATGGGAACCGGGGCATATACCAAGTCACCTCTGCGTGGGTTTAGGTAGCTGGTCACGACAAAGCAAAATTTAGACAATAAGCTTTGAGACTTTCCTTTTAGCTGCGAGTTTCACAGCTCTGCCAACCCCTGAGCAACCTCCCACTGGAGGACGCCTGCCGAAGCGCATGTGTTTACACTTTTCCTACACCAGGCGGAGGACCCAAGCGCTCGCTGACCCCGGGGGATTCCAAACCGTTACTCCGCCCGCCGGGGTGGGGCCAGCCCAACGGCCGAGCCTGCGCAGCCGGCCGGCTCCGAGGCCCCCGCGCACTACAAGTCCCAGAAGGCAGCTCTCCGCGGGGGCGGGCAGTCGGTTTATCTGCCTCACGCTCATTTTTACCACTGCTCTCCCCTTCCCCGGTCCTCCTGGTGTCCTTTCCACAGTTAAAGGCTACTTTCTCTTGAAGCACATGAGGAGAAGCCTTAGCAACCTCGATACCGACGTTCTTCGCGCGCTCGCTCTTTCTGCTTCTGCTCGAACTATGCCTGACTCCCTCACAGGAGTTGGGTAGCGCAGGCGAGAGAAGGAAGTCTTTGCAGGCCAAAACTAGGACAACCTGCTCGGACTTCCGCCTCCCGGCCTCCGGAAGGCAGTGCGCACGCGCTCGCTGCGACTCCGGCGCGGTTGACTTCCGCTCCCACTGTGCTCTGCGAGCCGAATCATGGATCACACTGGTAAGGAGGCGGAGGCAGTGGGGGTCCCGTTTCCATGCCCCCTTAGCCGGCCTGGGGCTGGTTGCCCAGCAGGCAAAAGGGATTACGCTCGCCCCACAACACTAGGGTGTGGCAGTGAGAAGAAATCTCACATATGCCTTCCTGTGCCTGGCAGGGGCCTGCCGTTTCCTGGCCTACCCTCTGGTGTGGTACCTACCTCCTCCGTGCCGGCAACAACCGCTCCTTCTCTCGTTCTGAGCTCCGAACCCGGACCGGTGGGCAATGTAGGCCTTTGGGAAGGGAGAGCGCCGGCTCTGTTTTATTCAGCCCAGCTGCTCTGGCCTACGTTATGGAGACTGGCGGGTAGATTGCGGTCTCCGAATCGCGGAATCCTTTTTACGCTGGGAGTGGACGGGCGAGAGTAGGTTGGAGACTTCCTGCTGTCTCAGTCAGCTTTGGGCGGGTGCTGCAGTGGTCACCTCCTGTCGTCTCTCAGATCCTTTATGGACTAGAGAGGTGAAAGAAGGGCGTCTGATAGAGTTTTTGGAATCCAACTCATAGCTTTTCTACCTAAACTAAAAGCATGCCCCGCGCTTCGACTGAGGTCCGTACTCATCATTTGAGGGTATTTACAAAGAGGAGCTTAAAATAAGGCATTCTCATACTTCTCTCCAAGTAAGAGTAGCTCCACCCTTTGTTATGTATTTTCTGGCTTTTGCTTCTTTGTGATTCTCGGATATTGAATGCGTGCTCTTGGAGTTAACAAGTGCCCCATACATTTACAGCGACCATATCACAAATGGAGAAAAAAAGGCTTTTTCTTGAGTATTGAGTTGTCCTCACTCATCAGATACCTGCTTGATTATGTAATTATGTAGTGTATGTTTATGCCAGATACAGATATCTGTAGGTCGGGAGATGGAAGATGGAATGGTAAACGAGACGGACCAGGTCCGTGATAGAACTTATATTTCACGGAGGAACACAGACAGTATCTTCTGTTTTAAAAAATTTTTTGTTTTTTAAATGTTTGCGAATTATAAGTGTTTTGAAGAAAATAAACCAGTGCTGTGGAGAGATTCATAGGGGGAAATTTCAGAGAGAGTTGTTAGGAATGGTCTTTGTGGAAGCTAAGATCTGATGGGTAAGAAGATCCCGGCCCTGGGAAAAAAGCAAGAGGAAAAGCATTTCCAGCAAGTGTAAAGGCACTGAGGTAGGAAGATGTAGTGAAGTCAGCTGCAGCCTAGTAATAACCAGAGTGTAAGAGTCCTGAAGTGAGATTGAAAAGGAGGGCAGCAGGCACATTATTCAGGTCATTGAAAGCCATGGTAAGCGTTTGAATTTTAAGTGAATATGAAGCCACTGAACAGAAGTAGAGGAGGAACACAGTCTCTTTAAAAAAATATAATAGGCTGTTCTATCGAAAATGGTGTAAGAGAGGGAGGTAAGAATGATGGAAAATAGCTGGTTGCAGTAGACGGGAAGGGAAGGTTGGTTTGGTGAAAATGGAGAATGGGCAACTTCAGTAAATACTTTGGTGGTGTTTGAACGAATGTGAGAGAAAGGAGAAATACCTAGGTTTTTGGTTTGAGCAACTAGGTAGTGTCCATTATTGAATTGAGGAAAACTTGGAGCAGAAAACAGTCTTTTTTTATAGAAGTGAGATGGGAATTTGGGAACAAGTGTTTGGTCTTGGACTACTGGTGTGAGATAACTATTGAGACAGGAGAGATGCCAAGTGGAGATGAGAGAAAAGATCTGCACTGAAAATACGTATTTGGAAGTTAGTACCTTTATTTATAGCTGGTATTTTAAAGCATGAGTACAGGTGAGACCACTTAAGAAGGGTGTGTTCAGAGGAGAAGCCGGCCTAGCACCAGCCTGTAAAGAATTCCAGTGTTTGGGAATTTATATAGAGTTGAAACTGCGATTTTGATGGTAGAATAGCAAACATTCGACTTTTGGAAAATAATTCTTATTTGAGCCCACTACTGGAATTGTGAGTCAAGTTCCTGCCATAGTTTAGAGGCTATTATGTTAGGAAGTCATAATAGGGGTGGGTGTAAAGCGTGTTTATTATCTTAATTCTTGAAGTTTAGACATTGCCTAAGGAAGTAAAACTCATCCTAACATGAAAATACGAATGAGCTGACCACTTAAAAAATTAGTTCCCGCTCAGATGTCCCTTCTGCTTAATACTCAATTCTTACCTATTTTATTTTTTTAATGAATCAGTCTCTTTGATGCTTAGTATCAGAAGATAGTATCAAATACTATGCATTGATTGTGAAATAAAATTATAAACCTTGCAGAAGATTCTGGTTTTCATGAAATTCGTAAATACAAATTTGATAATTGTTTAAATCACAAAGCCTTTGACAAATGAGGAAATGCCACTTAGCTAGATAATTGAAGAATCATGACAGAATAGGCATCTCAAAATAATAATTTCAATATTAAAGGATTAAGAGTTCCTTGGGGAAATTGATGAAACCCTTGAACATTATGCAAAAATGACCCATTTTATGATGATACTGACATTCAAATGTAAAAATGAAGGTGTTCTAATAGAATCTTGCCAGAAAAATTACTCCAAGAGGCTCCCAATTAACACTAGATTTATTCTTTGGTCATTCTAAGAATTAGCACTTCTGTAACTCTATCCCAGATTTTGTAAAAGATCCCAGATTTTGTAAAATATTTGTTGGTTCCTTTTATTCAGGATAAAAATCCCCAATCTTTTTTAAACTATATAATACGGAAGTGTTGTGCCTTTTTAAAGTGAATTTATCTTAAGTGGCCAGTAGTCCTTAGTCATTTTCTATGTAATATCTAAGAAATTTTTGTTGTTAAGAACTTTATAATTTGTTACTGTATTCAAAAGGAAATAGTGCTTTATGTTCTGATTCTTAATTTAAAAACAACAAAAAGCAAAAAAGTCGCAAAAAAACCCCAGAACATTACCACTATTAAATGCTGTACCTCATGAACTTCAATCTGTGAAGCAAAGTGAGAAGGGCCAGCCAGCTCTTGAAAGTGGTAGACTGTGCAAGCAACAATAGAGACCTCAAATGTTCAGGATGATGTGAAAAGGACTTGTGATGAGGTGTTGGTATTTTCATTATTCACAAAGGTAAAACGATTAAACCATTTTGATATTTGAATGTTTAGTATTTGAGGGACAGCATTGAACTGATTATATGTCTACAACGACTTGCTTTTTAGTTGATTGGAATGTCAGGAATACTTTTTGAGCAAGAAAAAAAGTCATTCATGTTTCTTCTGGCCAGTGCATTGCTTGTAATTACTTTTACGTACATAAGCAACTACAATGAAAGCAGATCAAATATATTAATCAGCTCGTGAGTCTATTTAGTGAAGCGTTGAAAGCTAATCAAGCTGGGTTTACCCCAATTCAAGATTCTAGCTAACCGTGTAATTCTGCCCTCCCCTTGTTTGAGGATTAGCTGTTATAAGAGTAGTAAGTAGACTGAAAGATACTTCAAATAATTGTTAAGGACCCATTTTTAATTTTGTTAGATATATTGTTCAGAAAAAGTGCAAATGAATGTGAACTTGGTGTGTGTCTGTAATCCTAGTAGCCTTAGAGGCCATTAGTACTAGCTTACTACTTCCAAATTTGGCTTTGCTGAATTTAATGTGGACGGTTTGGCTATCTATCTGGACTGTAATATTTCCTGCAGGGGCAGTTATACAACCTTGTTCAATAACTTGTCATGTTTAAAACACAATAAATTAAAAAATATGTTATTTGTATTTCCTATTTTAAGCATTTTCCTTTTTGTTAGTAGGTCAAGTTAAGTATTTTCTGTATTATATCTTTTCATCTATTTGAAAAAAGGTAACTGTTAAGCTTTAGATGGGGTCAGTTCTATGAAATAATACTCCTGTTACTCATGGGACAAGAATTAATTCTATAGACAATAACAAGCAGAGACTCCAGGGACTAGAAGGTGACAGTTGTTTAGGCCTAGTTGTAGTACAGGAACTTTGCATCCTCTTCAATTATAATTTTCCATTGCAGGGCCGACTAAGAACTCAGTCATATGTTATAGCCCAATACATTATTGCATGTTTTTACTACTAAATGGTGTAATGATTTTTACTGTAATTCTGAATGATTTTTAGAATAACTCTCTTACACTTAAGGAATAATCACATTTCTTAACTTCATTTTCAAATGCATTATTTAATTTTGCCTTCATCAGTGTTAGTAAGTTCAGTTTACTAAGTTTATTATCTGCATGCTTGATGATCAGACATGGGGATAGGAATGGTTTTCTTTCTTTTTCTCCTTAGTCTTTTTCTTTAAACAAAATCTCTTGTAGTTCAAGACAATGGTTCTTGGGTTCATGAATGGTTTCATGTTTCTGTAAACTTCTCTGGAATTATATGAAAAATTTTATTCACTTTTCTAGGGAGAGGTCCTATAACTTTTATCAGTTTCTTAAAGGATTCCATATCTCAAAAAGGGTTAAAAAGCATTGCCTTAAGTGTTGATCCAAAATAAATAAAATTAGCAGTTAAACTTAATGTAATATTGAAAATCAGAACCCAGATCTTTAAACTTGATAATGTTAGGTATGTTGTTTTAATACCTGTGGCAGAATAATCTTTAAAAAGAAAAACTAAAAGAAGTTACAACTTTTTTTTCCCCTGACATAGACAATGAGTTACAAGGCACTAATAGTTCTGGATCCTTGGGTGGTCTTGATGTTCGCAGACGAATTCCTATAAAGCTCATCTCCAAACAAGCAAACAAAGCAAAACCTGCACCGCGAACTCAAAGGACTATAAACAGGATGCCTGCAAAGGCTCCACCTGGTGATGAAGGTAATTTGTTTAACTAATAGGTCCAACACTCTTACTGTTTTATCTGATTGCTCCAGATAGTCTGTGTGATCTTATAGCTACCTCTTTTTTATCTTACATATCCTATTTATTCTTCAGCCTTCTTGTTTGACTTCTCATTGTAGCACATTGTATTTTTATTTCCCTTTATAAATATTTTTGATTTGATTCCTTTTGTTGTTGAAAGCAATGCTGCCCATTGTTTGATAATCTCAACAGTATTGCAGAAAGCATAACATTAAAAGTAAAATCCTTCTATCCAAAGATAATCCCTGTTGACTTTTTTATACAAAAGTACTGATTTTTTATGTGTAGTTGCCATTTTTTCATGTAATACGCATTTAAGATTTTTTTCTTATCAGTACATGCAGATATACCTCATTAAAAAAAATATGTTTGGGTATTTTTAGATATACCATAATTTAACAGTTTTTCCAGTTTTTTTCTGTTACAAAAAATGTTGCACCAAATATTC